GGACATAGTCTACCTGTAAAATAGTTTTGAAAGTTGATTTCTATACATTTTTATTAGTTCATGGTAAATATATCATAATAGGTTGTTTTTTATCCTTACCAAGAATGGTTTTCTTGGCATTACAATACTCTTTAATAAAGTTAGACTACTCTTTTTTAATTGCTAATCTAGGTTGTGCTTTTAAAGTAAATGCCTTGTTTGTCATTTGAGACCATTTAGAGGCCTGGCTGTCAAAATATATAGAATCTGATGTCCTATAGGCTGGAAGATAAAAAAGGAACCATCTAAATGAGAAACAAGGTGTCGAAGGGATCAGGTATCAGGCATTAAAGCCCCCCCCCCTAAAAAAAAAACTGCAAGGACTTATATCCCTACTCTGCATTGCTTCAGATATAATGGGCAAAAAAATGTACAAAAGGTAGATTTCTTTAGTGTAAGTATGTGTCTTATTTCAAGGCGGAAGGAGCAAAGTCATGTTCTCATCGTCAAATAAGCATTAGTTAAAACAAGGAAACCCTCTCAGATCCCCCACTTCTCAGGTAATGGCTGGCACCAGGCCTCAAATGGAGCCCCTTGCAGTCATGGTGTCCAAGTGACTGAGGAGAGCAAGGGATGTGATCATCTCCACCGGGTCCCGGATGTTGAAGTGGAACTGAAGAAGCCCCTGGACACCAATTCCCACATGCACTCACGTCCCGGGAGAGAGAAGGCACCCGTAGCTCGTCAGAACTGCTCAAACGGGCAAGCACCTCTCCCTGGCTGACCGGACCCTCTGGCTGTAGGAGTGGACTGCATGGGGCAGTTGCAGAATTGTTGCAAGCTAAAAAAATCATGGAATACAGCCAACAAAATGAGGCACTTTTTTTTTTTAGTACATGTATTAAATGACACATGATTAGAGCCAGTACAAAGTGTTTCTTAACTAAACAGATCCATGAGTAGCTGTTCCTAGAACTAATATTTTAGAAAGAAGCATAAAACAAACACAATGAGGAGGGGCAGGTGACAACACTGCCACTTAACAGATTCTTAAGCACCGAAAGGATAAATACTTCTCTCATAGCACACTTCATGGAGACATGAGCTGATTACACACCTGAAGTCCACACAGGTTTCTGAAAGCAACTGGCAATGGCATGGAAATGCATGCTCCTGGGTCACTCCTTCCAGAACACTCTAGACTGTCCCTTTGTCTCTGGGCAATACTGGTCGGTAATGTGTACACTGGCGAGTCTCCTCTATAGACATTTGTGGGTTCTTGCCACCACTGAAGAATAAGAGTATCAACCCATCATGTTTTAGTCTAGTGCAGTGCGACCTAGGAACCTGTAAAACCTCAAATGAACATACTGCCAGTTAATGAAAACTAGAATTGCACACGCACAATGAATATTACTCCCCCCTAACTACTGAGACGGAGGAGAGCAAGATCCCAGAAGATTAATAGATTTAACAAATACCAGCTCTAGATTTCAAAAGTGCGATGTTTCCTGATTCTAGAACATAAAGAACAGAGGAGTCATGATCTTAATACTAATACTGAAGCCCAAGTCCATGGGTGCTGCTGTGGCAGCGGCAGGCAAGCGGTGGGGCGCTGGTCCACGGAGGTGCCGCTGCTCCCGACCTGATGTCGCTCATGTGGGGCACAGCACTAGAAGACGACAAAGAAAACTTAGGTAGTTCATACACCTCTTCCTATGCATTTATATAGTTACTTTGTTTCATATACATTGTCAAATGTAGATTAGAAAACCAGTAAAAAATGACAAAACATTCGTGAAAGGACCTACATGTAGTAGCAGTTTTTAATGGTTTTTAAAGTTTCCAGAAATGAGATACTAAAAAAAGGCTGTCTCCCAGGACACCGCCTAAAGAGGGAAGGCTTATCACACAGCCAACAGGCTCCCTGTTGAAGTCAAAGAAGGGTGCGTGTGTCTGCCAACATCTGCGTGCCTATTGAAGACCAGCCACAGCTACGCCTCTAGCCTCTGCTACTGCGGAGGGCCAGGTCGCAGCAGGCTGTGGTGGGACCATTATTCGGGTGAGAAAGCAGCTTAGTTACCCCTTACAGCCCTACCCAATCCTTCCCAGGCCAAATGAACCCGCTTGTCTACCTTCTTTCACTTCTCACTTCGCATTGAAACGAAGATGAAGTATTTAGGCAGCGCCAGGGCTCAACAGAGAAAGGGAAAGGAAAGTTCACTCCTGGAGTGACATTCCCCCACCCCCAGCCAGGCAGTGTCATTACTGGTCCCCATGGAAGATGAGCACTTAAATGGCTGTGGATTCCCAGGATGGGTGGAAAAGAGCATTTTCAATGACACCCCCCCCACACACACACCCCCTTCCATAATTATTTCCCACAAACCAGCTGCCATCAAGCCAGCTCCAACTCACAAAGACCTCGTGAGTGTCAACAGCAGAACACGGTCCACTGGGGCGTTTGTTGACTTTCTAAAAAGTAGATCCCCAGGCCTTTCTTCCAAGAGGCCCCTAGGGGGATTTGCATCTCCAGCCTTCCGGCCACTAGTGGACTGTGCTTCGGTACTACACCCTCAGGCGGCATCCTTTTCCACCCAGTCCTTGCAGTGCAAAACTAGGGCACGGCACAGCACAGCAAAGCAGGCACCCCGGACAGCGCACAGGAAGCAGGCACAGCACAGAGAGCTGGGCTGGCTGCAAGGCCCAGGGCCTGAGCATGTGGGGCAGAGAGGCCGGGCGCTGCTTCCCCGCGGCATGCAGAGCAGGTAGATGGGACGTGTTGGAGTGAAGAATCGAAGCCCTATCTCCCCCAGACCCCACTGCTTTCTGAGTCATGACAGGCTTCATGCAGTCAGAGGATAGAAATCGTTAGCAAAATGCCTCAGAAGCTCCAACTGTCTCTGGCCCTCATGGCAGTGCCCTGGGGACCCTGTGTAATTACAAATGAAAACGTGTGCTTTATATTCATTTCAGTCCCGTCTCGTCACTAGAAGAACCAACCTCTGAACAATCCAGCTTTCATGCCAGTGCTAGCACAACACAAAAGCAAACAGAAGTCAGGTATAAAACAACCCAGAATGCCATGGGGTAGAAGGTTTTTCCAAACGGGTGGGGCGGGGAAGAATCCAGTTTACAAAACAGGGGTGGCCAATTCAGTCTCTCCTAGCCGTTGTTAACCCACTAGTGGCTGGCACCAATCTCTTACAGGTACTGTGCTCTAAAGTTTCCCAAGTCAGTCCAAGACGTGCTACCGAGCTTCTCTGTCAGTGGAGCAGTGGGTGTCTAACAGCCAATACACCCAATCTTTCTTGTGCTTTGCTGACAACTGATGGCAAGGAGAGAGCATCCTAAGTCGTGAGGGGCCACCAGACCTGGAATGTACTCAACATTGGATCAAATACTGTAAGAGGCAATTTGTAATGCTCTTCAAATACGATGCCTAAAAGTAAGACAAAAACCACCTTTCATTCCCCCACCCCCATGGGGAACTGTTTATTTTATCTCTGAGTTCATCAATCCCCCCAACTCTACACTCCTAAAGACAAATTAGGAGAGA